CACTCATGCTCTATAAGTAAGTAAATAATAAATAAATAACATCTTTTTTTAAATGGCATAAAATATATATGTCTTTATTAATTATTTCATTAATAATGGATTAAGCACATTTGCCTATGTTCTTATTCCTTTACAGGACCACATCATGTTCTATTATATCATATTCAGTTATTTTAAAATAAAATTTTTAGGTAGTTTTTTAAATTTTAATTTTTTTCTCATAACTGGCATGGTGATAACTCTATAGCCAAATAATTTCACATTTATAGGATTATTTTGTTATGATTACGTTCAAGAAGTAACATGGTAGATTTCAGTAACAATTAAGAAGATGAAAAGCACAGAGTATAGTAATGAGCACCTAGTAAGCCATCAGTAAATGTTATGGATAGTGGATCTGTATACTATAAGAGGTGAGGGAGATATACTTTATTTGAAATAGGCTTACTAATTACCCCAAATATAATCTTCTTATGTAAGAATTTTTAGCACTTCTTATTTATTTTATAAACGTGTATCACACAAACAAACCAGATACGTCAGTTTATAGATGTGTTTCTATGAAAACATTTAGTATGTGTTTCTATGAGAAGTTCTGCTTCTCCAACTAACACAAATCATCAGGAATAATCCAAAACAAGATCATTGACATATCCTTTGGGGGGCGGGCGTGGGGGAAGGGTTGGGTGGATATTTGCTTGTTCTTTTTTCCTTTTGTTGTGGAGTCTACCTGCTGCTAGTGTTATATGAACATACCCTCCAGCCCACTGCCTCTCACCCTGGTCTGAATGCCCAGTCTGGGGCCCTTTTGGCAGAGCTGTCCCCACAAGGACCAAAAATAGAAATATACAGATGGCATACTATCTCTGAAAGGACAATGTTGACCTGAAAAATCGGTTCTCATGCACAGGCTGAGGTGCTGTGATGGAGGAGGGATGGGGAAAAGTGCCCATTTCCCACTTGGTCATTCAGTACCCCCAGCGTGGTGCCTGTCTGCATGTATTGAGGTACAGAGCACATGGCAGTGCCAGAGAGAAGAAATGGGAAACTCCAGGGAGAGATTTCAGGAGTCTGCAGAAATGTAATTTCGTGAAATAGGCTGGGTGGGAACTGGTGAACTGGAGAGCATACGGTTCATTCAGTCGCCGAGGGGAGCAGCTTTCGCCTCCAGCCCGTGGTGGCCACGCGAGAAGGCAGGCTCAGAGTTCCCAGGGCCTCCCATTTCACAAGAAGCTGAAAACCTGGAATTTTTATTCGAATCTTTCAATTTTCATTTTTTTTGATGATAAGAGATTTTTATTTATCTTTTTTACAGTTTTTATTTTAATTCCAGTTAACACATAGTGTTACGTTAATTTCAGGTGTACAATATGATGAATAAAGTTACTGTATGGAAAAGAAAGAGACATTTAAAGCACTTTAAAGTTAGCTCTTTAGGATATTTTAACATTTAACATAATTATAGTAACATTTTCCTTCTTGGGATTCACCCCAGAGCCTATACGTCAAACCCATTTCTTCAAGATCACACCAAAATAAGATTGTGTGCAGTGCATAAAATTGCACACCAGAACCATGTCTGTGTGGGTAAGGACACATTGCAAAACAACTTTGCAACTCTTTCTCCATCCAGTGGTCAACGACCTTTTAAGGAGTTTTGCCTTTGTGTGTATGTTGGGCTTTTTTTTTTTTTTATCTGACAATGTGTTTGGGTAAACGTAGGAATAAATTGGTAAAAAGTGTGTGTGTGTATGTGTGTGTGTGATTGTTTTATTAAGATGGGTCTCTAGCTTGCTAACTGCAGATCTTGAAACTTATTAGCCTCCACAGTTGCTGAAGCCAGTTCCTCAACACACACACACACACACACACACACACACACACACACACAC